CTGGTCTGATAGGACGGGGGGAGCAGTGTCTGGCTAAAAATCATTATTTAAGTTGGCAGGTCAACCGTTGGTTATTTGTACAAGTCTAAGAACTTTTTCCTAATTTTTAAAACAAATAGGTTCCAGAAAGTTCTAATAAAATTCACACTGCCAAGTTGCTTAAAACTGTTTAATGGGGGCATATTGTGTGATTGCGTGTGTATGTGTGTGTGCGTGTGTAAAACTCCCAGCATGAGAGCAATTATTCAAAGTCTACTTTCTGCTCTGCCATCAAAGCTTTTTAAAATATTTCGTTTAATTTTTTGAATGGGTGATTTATTTATTTGTTTTGAAATCATTTTCAAGGACTGCTATAAACTTCTTAGGTATTTTTTTTGTATACATAACAAGCAAATATGCATTACCACTTTGCAAAATGATAGCATATCGGGATACTGATACGAACCTCCTTTTTCTCATTTAACAATATTTCATAAATATCTTTCTATACTAATATGTAAAAAAATTTAGACAGTGCTCTAGTCAGCAACTCAAAGCTATGAAAAGACCAGTGCTAAAGACTGTTGAGCAAAGGTGTATTTCTGGGTTTAAGTTTCAGTGTGTAGACCTGGTGTTTTCTCCTCCACCTCATCACTTTCAATTAATCAACTAATTACCAGTCATAACTGAGTTAATCAGAAGGACTTCTGTGTTTTCAAAAGGACAACGTTATCCTCAGTCATTTCGACATCTCTTAACTTTTTTGAGTTAGGAAGGATCTTAAAGATAACCATTTCTGATGCCCTCATGTCACAAATGAGTTTGCCGGGGCTCTCAGAGAGATGTCTTTGACCACAGCCTCATCATGAGTAAAGGAGCAAATCGAGGGCTTCTCCCACTGCTCCGCACTAGGAGGCAGTTTTGTGGGTGCCAGAAGAATGCTGTGGTAGGCAGAATAATGTTCCCTAAAGATGTCCATGACCTTACACTTGGAACCTCTGAATATATTATTGACATGACTTTGAGGGACTTTGCAGATGTGGTTAAGGTTAAGGACCTCAAGATGTGGAGATTATCTTGGATTGTCTGGGTGAGCCAGTCTAATCACACGAGTCCTTAAAAGTGAGAGAGGAGGCAGAAGGCAGGTCGGAGAGGTACAACAATGCAAGAGGCAGAAGATAGTCAAAACATGAGAAGTTTTGACCCATCCTTCAAAGATGGAGGCGGGAAGGTAGAACCAAGAAATCCTGATGGCCCCTAGCAGTGAGAATGGCCCTCAGGGACAGTCAGCAAGGAAATGGGATCCTCTCGCTACTAAGAACTTGATTCTGCCAATAACCTGAATGACCAAAGGAATGGCTCCTCCTCGAGGGCACCCAGGAGGAAGCACGGCCCTGCTGGCACCTTGATTTTAGGCCAGCGAGACTCATGTCAGACTTCAGACCTATAGAATTTTAACAATAAATTTGTGTTGTCTAAGCTGCTAAGTTGGAGGTAACTTGTTAGAGAAGCGATAGAAAACGGATACAAATGTGATGGTGACAGACTGCTCCCTGCTTCAGAATATTCTGGTGCATAGCAACTGATGTCATAGAAAAGATTCTAGAAAAGCAGGCCGTGGAGAAGGACTTAAGGTTTAGAAGCTCTTAGGTGAAGGCAAATGGGTTGTCAAGGAGGTGGCATCTGAAAAATCCAGGGGACTGAGTGGAAGGAGAGCAACTTTCCTGTAAGGAACATTAAAACTGCCATGTGGCTGTTCCTGCCCCCTCCCCCGGGGGACTGATAGCAGGTATATGGTGGGCAGGACCTGGGACACGTGTGATGACACCCAGCTGCAGGAGACACTCATCAGCAAATTCCCTTATTGCTCATCCGATGACAGTTCTGTTGGGAAGAGTAGGTTTTTGTTCATTTATTCATTCAAGAGAGATTCATTGGGCACCTATTATGCACCAGGCTGGGTTCAAAGTTCTGGGGATAAAGCAGAGAACAAAACCCATGGTGCTTACACCCTGGTAATGGGAGATAGACAAGTGAACAGATAAATGAACAAGGTAATTTCTGAAGTTGGCTTATCTTATGAAAAAAACCCACGATTTTCTGTGATGGGGCAGTGGTCAGGGGATCCTATTTGAGTGGTGAGCTCATTTGAGCTGAGACTATGACCAGAAAGAGCAAGCTAGATGGTGGTTGCCGGGAATCATGCTCCTGGCAGAAAAAAAACAGCGTGTGAAAAGGACCTGTGGTGGGAAAAGAGATTGGTGCTTTCAAAGAAAAATGAGGGCGAACGAGGGACTGAATTGGTGCTCGGATCAGGAAGGGTCTTGTTGGCCAGGATGAGAGTTTGCGATCTTTTTGAAAGTCCAAGGGGAGTCTGTTGGAGGCGTGTGATGGGATATGTTTTTAAGGCCTTTCCAGCTGCCGTGTGGAGACTGGGGAAAGGGGAACAAGAGAGGAGTGTGGGGTGTAGGAGGACAGTCAGGAAACCTCTGCAGGAGTCAGATATGGTGGAGATTTGGGCTAGGATAGTGCGGATATGGCGAGAGGTGAATAGGTTTTGGAAGAACAGTGGACAGGGCTCCTGGTGAGTTGGCCGCTGGGGAAGAAGGAAGGAGAGAGCACTCAGTAGGCCTTTTATGAGTTGAGATGGGGCCTGCCCTCTCTGGGAGGCAGGCACTGCCTGAAAATATTGTTTGCTCTGTTGGGCAATGTAAACACAGACTTCTCGCATATACATTGAAATTCAGTTCTTAAGCTAAGGGCGTGGAGTGCATCAGAACTCAGAAAAATAAGTGTCTGCAAGAGATTTGCATATGTAACTCATTTGCTCTTTAAATCAATGCATTAGGTGAATATTACTTTCACCTCTACTCTAGGCACAGAGAGGCTGAGAAACTATCTTAGATCATTCCTGGGATCACTAAGATTTCAGCTACTGAGGGGATAAAGCTGGGCTTTGGATACAGGCGACCTGACTCCCAAGTCTGAGCACTTAAATGCTGGGCCCTCCTTGACAATGTATTTGGTGTACTGGTCACCTCTGTAACTGATCATGCAGACTGAGAATTTAAACAAATGTTTGAAAGTGCAATTCTTCTAATTCATGAATATACTTAGTTTTTTCTGACTTTTGCCCAAGTTAGACATTTAGGTCATTTGTTCTCAACTGGGGGCAATTTTGTCCCCCACGAGACATGTGGCAATGTCTGGACACATTTTTGTCTGTCACAACTGAGAAGGCAGAGTTATTGGCTTCTAAAGGCCAAGAGTGCTCCTAAACAATCAATCTCCAATGCCCCCCAGAACAAAGAATTTTCCAGCCCAAGTGCCAAGGTTGAGAACCTCCATGTAGGTGAACATAGGCTGGAGGATATGCATACACCTGTGAGTGATGACAAACAGGAAGGGGGAATTAATTGTCCAGTTGATATATATTTATTTAGGGGTTATAGGACATACCAGGAAGAAGATATATTATAATTTCCAGTTGCACATCCTAGTCTGAGGGATGGGACATAGCACAAAACAAGACAATCACCGGCTAGGCACTCTGGAAGTGATTCTGAGAGCAACAGGGGCTCAGAGAAGGGATGTTCTCGGAGGATTGCATCAGGCTTCAAGGAGGTGGCACCTGGGGTGGAGACCTGAAGATGGAGCAACATGTATGTGAGGAAAGGCATAGTAGGGATCTGTGCACTGGTAATAACCATGTGTGAAGACACCACGATAAGAATTAACAGGAGCTTGGGTGTTGGGGGTGCGGCGTGCGGAGGTGCAGAGAGGGAGCAACATGGGAATTCAGAGTTGACTGATTTGGTTCCTCCTGCTGGAAGGCGGGCAGGGCGAGGCGAGATCATCATGGAGAGCTTAGAAAACGAAGTGTGAGTTTGCTATGGTAAGGAATAGGAAAGTAGCAGCATTCTCAAAGTGACACTTTCCAAGTGCTTTGGGGACATTTCTCAGTCATGGTAGAAAATGCCACTTGAAGGAGTTGGCATGGAGGAGTGGAGACCGGGGGCCTGGGCTATGACTTAGCTTGCAGTGATGACGTGGGCGGAAGTGGTGGCGATGAGGTTAGTTGGTGACAGCAGAAATGGAGACGGTTAAACTCAAGAGTCAATTCTCTGTGCACCCCGCAAGGTATCCCCCTTACCTTCTACGGATGAGGAAACAGAGGCACTGTGAGGCTAAGTGACTTGTCTGCTGTTGCTGATGGTGACCCGGTTAATACGCAGCAGATCTGGGCTGGACCAGGGTTTGTCTCCTTGCATGGACAGTGAACTTGGTTTGCAGGAGTTGGAGGACTAGGTTTTATAAAGGATAAGACTACAGCTCAATATATTCTGGGATAAAAGGCGATGGTGGAAATCATTCAACATGACGGTGGTGGCTATACTCGAGTGGTGGTGCCGTGATGAACTTTTTTTCCTTTGCTCTTTGTTTTCCAAAATGTGTTTAATGAGCAAGTTCTACTTCCACAAGAAAGGGGAAGAAAGGATTTGAGCATCTGCGTCTATCACGAAATAGAAACCAGTGCGAAGAAAACCAAGGAGAAGCCATTGGGTGTTACTGAAGGAAAAGAGTGTGTGTGTGTGTGTGCGTGTGTGTGTGTGTGCGCGCGCGCGTGTGTGTGCGTGTGTGTTTGGGGGGTGGGGAGACCTTCAAAAGAGCAATTTCCTTAGAAAATGCGTGTGTGTGTGTGTGTGTGTGTGTGTGTGTTTGGGGGGGTGGGGAGACCTTCAAAAGAGCGATTTCCTTAGAAAACACGAGGCCGGGAAGAGGAGGAGAGTCAGGTGTCCTGGGTTTGCGTAACTAGACGTGAGAATTAGGAGGGGGAAGAAGTGTGGAGGAGAAGCCAGGCAGGACTCCCACTTTTCTGAACATATCGAATTGCACTCCCCCTTCCCCGCAGCGCCCTTCTTTTCCTTCGGAGGAACCAGCGTCCCTACGACCTTGGTAGAAATTACCGTGACTCCGCCCGCTCACCTGGCCGCTATTGCCCTGAGCCGCCAGCAGGGAAGATGAAGGCGTCTGTGGTCCTCTCCCTCATTGGCTACCTGGTGGTTCCGAGCGGGGCTGCGATCCTGGGGCGCTGTGTGGTGGCTAGGAGGCTCCACAGAGGAGGCCTGAGTAATTTTGAGGGCTACAGCCTTGAGAACTGTGAGTAGGCCCTTCTCAGCCCTCTCTGTCTTCTCCTTCTTTCCCTCGTCCTCTGCCCAGGCACCCCCTAACTACAGCCCTCCTCCGAGCCACACACCTCACCTCCTGTTCCATCCTAGGGGTGTGCCTGGCTTACTTTGAGAGCAAGTTCAACCCCGCGGCTGTCTACGAGAACTTGCGTGGTTCCTACACAGGCTTCGGCCTCTTTCAGATTCGCGACACTGACTGGTGTGACAGGGGCAAGAACCTCTGCCACATGTCCTGCTCCGGTATGTCCCCTCCCTCAATTCCACACTGGGGCACTGGGGACTACGGCATTGAGCTTCGAGTGCTGCCTTCTTAACGGCCAGAATTTACAAGTTCGGAGCGGGGAGGAGGAGGGCTGGCAGGGGTTGGGCGGAGCCAAAACCAAGGTGGGACCCCGAAGAGGCCGCGTGCTGCATTCCGGGGTACGCAGGGAGAAAGGGCAGCGGTGAGCCAGGCACAGAGTCCTGGGTCGGAGCTATGGGGACCCACATCCAGATGGGAGGAGAAAGCGTTGGGACATTGCAAGGAGACCAAGTGGCAGACCTCAGAGCCCATCCGCTCCTGAAGGATGAGGTAGACGGCTCTGGTTGGGCCCGATTTTTCCCACGCTTGGCCACCACATTCTTCCTCAAAGGGATCAGAAGCTGCCACTTTGACAGGCAGAAGTGGTCTCTGGGAGGAGACAGGAAGGGGCTGACCCAAGGGGAGCTTGGCCTGCCTCTCTTAAGAGGTTCCACATACCTGTGGTCAAGAAGAGGCGGCGCTCAAGACTCACCCCATGAGCGTTTGCTGAGCACCTACTAAGTGCCAGAGGACTGGCGTATGATCCCCAAGCTGGGGGTCTCATGGGTGGAGCTGCTGCCATCAGGGTGGGCGCCGTCTTTGTCTCCTGCCCCTTGACGGGTCTTCGGCAGTAGGGTTATGGAGAAAAGCAACAGAAGGGAAGCTGGCGGAGGTGGAAAGGCATGTTGGACAAAGTCGGACGAAGCCAAGGATTTGGGGTCCTGTTTAGGGAAGATGAGAGGCTGCAGCACAGGCAAGGAGGGCGGGTATTGCTGTAGTCCCCGGGGGCAGGTCTCGGTTTCCAGGATCCAAGCAGGAAACGGAAGGATGAATGCACAGACATGTTCGTTCCTTAGAGGCACCGCTGGGCCCTCTTATATTCTGTTTCTTCTGCCTGGAACAATTTTTCTTCTGTGACTCCCTCAACCCCCTTTCCTTAGATGTCCGTTGGCCCAATGACCCTTCCCTGACCCTTCGCACCTGAATGAGGTGCCCCCACTCAACACTCCCACATCAAGCTGCATCCCCAGCATCCTGGGAATCCTTTGCTTTATACTCATCGGCCATCTTTACCCTCTTGCCGACTTCAGGCTCTAGGAGGCCTGGGGTTTATCATGTTTGTTGTTCTATCTCCACTGCTTTTCTTATATTGCTTAACACAGAATATTCACTCTACTATATATTTTTAAGGAAAAGAGTATTATAAAAATTACAAGAAAAAAAAATCAATAGAGTTAGTAAAAGATGACCATATCCTGCTACCTCCCAGGGCTGTCTGAGAGGAATTTAAGGGTAGGTTTATTCTTGGAATCACATGGATGCCTCTCTAACGTGAGAATCTTCTACCTTCCCTGACGTGCTCTGACTTAGTTGCCAAGTGGGGATGTGGTATATCATTCCACTTTATTTTCTCCACAGCTTTACTGAAATCAGATTTAAAGAAGACGATCGAATGTGCCAAGATCATCGTAAAACGAAAACAAGGGATGGGAGCATGGTAAGAGCTGTACCTTTAAATAGCCTGTGTTCATGCCTTTCACTCATTTAATCTTAATCTTAGCCTGATCTTGGTCACCGCACATCTGCAGTCCCAAACTAGTGAGATCCTAACTATCAGGTTAAACTGTGGAACACTGTTGAGTTCTGCGATCTCAAGGCCACAGAAGGAAGGAAATAATGACCAAATTGCCTTAGGTGAACAATTTTCCCACCTCAAATCTTGTTTAAGGTGATACAGGATGCTAAGATGAGCATCCCTTGAAATATCTGTATATCTCTGATTATTTCTTTCATATAAATTCCTACAAGGGTTCTTGACACTTTTAAGGTTCTTGATACATGTTGTGAAATGACTCTCCAACGAGCTTGTACCAATTTATACTAATGTTAACAGTTTATTTACATGACTATTTACTGCACTCTTACCAATTATAAAATCTTTGCCCTTTGAAAGGTGAATAACAATTTTGTCTTGTTTTCATTTGCATTTTATGATATTCCATTAGTGTTTTCCCATTATGTTTGTCATATATTTATATTCTCGTTTTCGATTTTCCCCCTGTTCCTTTCCTTTGCCTATTTTTTTTTATTCATGTCATCATATTGGTTTGAATGAACTACTTATTCATTATCTGGTCATTATATAGTTGCTGCCAAAAATACCTGCAACTTTGATTTCTTCGTTAGCCAGGTATTCGCTTAGGAAAGCCTAAAATTTATAAGTGGTTGGGCCTGTGTTTGACTTATTTTACTCTATATTTTATTTGTTCATATTGTTATGTGTATTTGTAATTTGTTCATTTTCATTGCTGTGTAGTATTCCATTGTATGACTATACACAATTTATTTATCCATTCTTCTGTTGGTGGGCATCTGGGTGGTTTTCCTTTTTTAATGCTGCCATGAACATTCTATGCTTATCCTTGGCAAATATATAAACAGACTTTTTCATCGATTATACAAGGAATAAAATGACTAGTCATAGGATATGCATATTTTCAGATTTGGCATACTCTGCTCATCAGAGATTTAAAAGAAATTTTATCAACCTCTACTCCCATCAACCGTTAGGAGTTTCGGTTGCTCCAAATTCTTGCCAATGCTTGGAATTTTCCAGTTTATTTTTGTGACTGCGTAGGGGTGGTGTATTGTTAGGATGTGGTGGAGAGAGCAAAAGAGACATGCTTAAGATGCACAAGAACCTTCAGGGGGTGGCACGTTCAAATGCCCAGGGGCCAGGACGGGGGTGTAAGTGGGTCAGCAGGGGCTGCGGAGCCCTGGGGATCCCAGCTCTGATAGTGGGGAGCCCCCTCCCATTCACTCCTCTGGGTCTTCCTCTTTGCAGGCCCTCCTGGACCCTGAACTGCCAGAACTCGGACACCCTGGCACGGTGGTTGGATGGATGCAAGCTGTAGCCATCACCGGGGCGGCCCGCGCAACACTCCCCAGTTGCATCTTTTGAATGAAGACGCTCTCCTGTTGGCTGCCTTCACTCAATCCTATTGATTATCTCACCGCTTGACAGCTCCAGATGGAAAAGGACAAAAGTTTGCTAAGGATGCAGGATGCAGAATAAACCAGCTAGTTACTCAACCTGGGCCAAAGGTCTCCACTTGTGTGATTATACTGTGGTCGTTACTAAGATAACCATTATTTACCATTATCATAATTTATTACTTAATCTCAGATGGAGGCTTTGAAGGAAAGGGAAGAAAAGATACAGTGGAAGAAAAGAGAAGTCACAGAGGACAGGAAGACAGGCAAGCCAGGCCTCCAGTCTCAGTGTGTGTCCACATCGAGACACACAGATGGACATGAAGAGACCACAGAATCCTTTTCACACTTCTATGGAGAGAATCCAGTGACAGTTCCTCTTTCTTATGAAAAGTTAAGTTTTTAGAAAATGGTCAATAACACACACTCGCATTAGAGAAATTGCGAAAAATCCAGAACCATAGAAAAAAAAGAGTCCCACCTTGGTCTTCGTACCCAAGGACAATCCAGGCCTCCAGTCTCAGTGTGTGTCCACATCGAGAACCATAGAAAAAAAAGAGTCCCACCTAGGTCTTCGTACCCAAGGACAACTGCTGTCATGCTTTGACTGTAGTCTCTTTTGGTCCTCCTTTCTGTAGAGTGGTTTTGATTATTTTTCAACAGTACCGTCGTCATGCTATAGATAGAGTTTTGTACCTCGCTTTAGAAGAAA